AGAGAGAGAGAGAGAGAGAGAGAGAGAGAGAGAGAGAGAGAGAGAGAGAAAGAGCTTGGTGATTGGATAGAAGCAGGAGCCTCTGCTATGAGTCCTCCTTCGTCTGGGGCTCTGAAGCCTCTGCTCTCTGAGGAAGCTCCTTGGAGTCCAATGACATTGCCAGGTGGGCCTCTATCTCCCTCTATCTGGAGCAGATGCCCCTCTTTGCCCAGCTATTTTTTCTGCTGGCTATTTTCATAATTGTTGGCCATGATAAAATATTCCAGCCATGTAGAGGCTAAAGAGGGAGTAATGGAGACAGATGAACGTCAGACTTGCCAATTTAAAAGCCACTGGGTAATCATAGAATCTTTTGCATTCTGCAAAAGATGAACCTCTCCAAAGTCTCACCTCTGTGCATGTCCTAAAATGATTCTGGCTACTTTTAGTATATGTCTTAGTTGGAATAATGAAGATGGAGATGAGAAGAGACAGGAGAGGTAGAGCAGAGGGTCTCAGGTAGATCTGCTGCTTGCCAGCCAGGCCTCTCTGAGCCTCGGCTTCCCCATCTCTGTATTGGATCTGACTGGTCACTCTGAGGGTCCCTTGCCACTTTAATGCCCATCCTTCAAACTTGTGGCCATGAAAAATGTTATAAAACTGTTTTGGGTCTTAGCTTTTGCTATTTAAATGCTATGTTGTTCCAGACTGTGCAGGTGTGCAGTTTGGCCTGCAATTCTTTCCCTTCCCAGGCAGACCCCTACATCTAGACATTAGAGTCCTGCCTGTCATGGTTTAGATCAAGAATGTCCCCCACAGGCCTCAGGAGGTCACAGGTGGAGCTCTTGAAAGGAGGTTGAGTCATATGTATAAGAGAACTGATTTGCTATTAGGAGGCAGGGTCTGATCTGAAGAGGCAGTTCACTAGGGCATGGCCTGGCACCATGGCATTTACCCCTTCCTCTCGCTCTGTCTCTCTGTTTCTGTCTCTCTCTTTCTCTCTCTGTCTCTCTTTCCTCCCTTCCTCCCTCCTTCTCTGCCTCTCTCTCTCTGTCTCTTCCCTCCCTCCTCTCTCTCTGTTCCTGTTTCTGTCTCTCCTCTCTCTCTCTTTCTCTCTTCCCTCTCTTCTTGTTTCTCTCCCTGTTCTCTCTTCCCTCCCTCCTTGTTTCTCTCCCTGTTCTCTGTCTCTCTCTCTTCTCTCCCTCTTCTCTCTTTGTTCTCTCTCTCTGTTTCTGTCTCTCTCCTCTCTCTCTCTCTGTCTCTCTTCTCTCTCTGTCTCTGTCTGTCTTCTCTCTTTCTCTGTTTCTGTCTCTCCTCTCTCTCCCTCCCTCCCTCCCCCTCTCACCTCCATGATGCGAGCGATCTCTCCCACCAGACCCTCCCCTTATGCTGCTTCCATGGTTACACAGACTGACCATGGACTGAAACTGTGAGCCAGAATAAACCCTCTTCCTTTAAGGTGCAGGTGTCCAGTGTCTTCTCCCAGCAATGAGGCAGGCACTAAGACACTGCCCATGCTACCTCCTGGAAAGCTGTCTTCTGCCCCTCCTCTCCCCTGCCTTATCACACTCGCTTTTCCCTGGTCTGCCTACCACACTCCCAAGTGAGCCATAAAGCAGAGGAAACCTGTGATTCTCCCCATGGTACAGCCCTCTGGGCTGCTCATTGTCTGCAGAAAGAAACTGGCCAGCCTGTGAGACTCTTCCGGCCAGCATCCCCCTTGCTGTGACTCCTGAGGTCCCAGAGTAGCTAAGACCCCTGTTCCTTGTTGGGCTCTGAGCAGCCAGTCCTCCAGCACACCAAAAGCCCTTAATGACGGGTTGCTGAATGCTGTTCTCTTTCCTTCTCTCTTTCCATAAGCAGTGCCTCCAAGGGAACAACACACGCAGCACACTTTTATTTTTCTACATTGATTCATGATAATTATACATAATTTGGAGAATAACATGTTTGATGCATCATACAGTATGTCATGATTAGCTCAGAGTGCTTTGTGGAGCCATTAAGCATTTATCATTTGTTGGTGTTTGAAAGATTCAAACTGCTAGCTAGTTTCAAATGTCCACAACAAATTACTGTTTACTGCCTTCTACTCCTTGGTGCTCCATCAGTCCTCCCCCTTGGTGCTCCTTGATGCTCTTAAGTGCTCCTCCTTGGTGCTCCATTGGTGCTGCTCCTTGGTACTCTATTGGTGCTGCTCCTTGGTACTTCACTGGTGTTGCTCCTTGGTACTCTATTGGTGCTGCTCCTTGATGCTCTGTTGGTGCTCCCCCTTGGTGCCCTGTTGGTGCTCCCCCTTGGTGTTGCTCCTTGGTACTCCATTGGTGCTGCTCCTTGGTGCTCCATTGGTGCTGC